CCGCCTGCCTCTCCCGACCGCTGCGAGCCCGGCCCGCGTACCTCTGGTCCGGGAGGCTGCTGGGGCACCCGGGGAGCACGCGGAGCTGGCCCCAGCCTCCCCTCCCGGAGGAGCCACCGGCGGGCGTGGCCCAATGGAGTCGTGGCCAGAGCACCCGCCCTCCACTGTGGCCGGATCCTGTGCTGCGCAGAGTTTGGCGCCATCAAATGTGTGGCGACGGCGCCTCTCGCAGTGTCGCCCCTCTGTCGCGTGCAGGCTGCTCTTCCGCGGCGCCCCAGCCCTGAGCGGGAACCTTCGGCACGTGCCTGCTTTGGCGCAGACTCTCTCCGAACCCCAGGGGCCGCGTTTGACGGACCCCGTCCCAAGACGGGCGACTCGGCTTCCGTCGCCGTGAAGTCGGGTTGCCGTGCCCTTGGCCCTGGGTGGCTTTTCAGGCCCTTGTAGCTGCCGAGTGTCCTTCCGGGCAGGGGCTGCCCCTCGTGCCATCTGGGCATCCTACGGCCTGGTGCCTGGGCAGCGACGGGGCCGCGGGGAAGGCGACGGACGGGACCCGACGTCCTACCTGCCTCCCACGCAGGGCTTGGGACACAGGCGGGGTGCCTTGGACGGCTGCTGGTCAGAAGTGCGGAGTCTGTCGCTGGGTGTTGGCTTCACCGTTAGTCTCTCCCGCTCCGCACCTGCTCCGCAAATCGTCGTGGGTCCCGGGACCTGGGAAAAGCCCCGCCGGGAGGGACCTGAGGCGGCGCAGGGCTTCCGACCAACCCGGGCGGGCGGGGCTGCTCCCGCAGGCTCCCTGCGCACCCGGGACTCGGAGATGAGGCCGACAGAGAGCGGAGCTCACTCGGACCCTCTTTCCCAAACTGGACCCATCTTTGGTTTAAAACCTCTTGTAAAGGGCGCTGCAGACAAGGCGCCGCTCTGCAGTCTCTCCCTGCGCTTTAGAGTAAATCGTGAGATTGGTTTGCGGTTAGACTCAATGTGCTATGAATATTCCAGAACACAGAAACGGCAACCTAAATCCATTTATATTTATTGTTTTGAAATACCAAAGTTGCTTTAATGAAATCCAGCTTTGGGGGACAGCTTACTGTCCAGCTCAGCCAGAGAAATTCAATTAGAAAGTTTTCTCTCCATGCAAATTTAGAAGGATCCCTGAAGGGGCCCTCAGACCCGCCCCAGGGCCAGGCTTGGTGTCTGGCAGGATCAGCTCTTTCTGTATTCCAAGATGGATTGCCCCTTTCTAATGTAATAAAGATGTTCTGAGTTGATTGAAGATAATTGGATCTTTAAAGCATTTTCTTTGAAGGCCTCTCTCCTGGTAGTTTATCTTCAGCAGGCCACTCACGGGAGTGTTTGAAGAAGAATTTTAATAAGGATGACAGCCAGCTGCCCCACATCCGCTCAGGATGCTGGGAAGGTGGTGTCTGGGTGGATGTGTGGGGGCCTGAGGTGTGGCTTAGCTGGCCTGGGAGAAGGATGGGGTCACAGGACCAGGCATGGTGCCGACCTTCAGGACAGCCTTGCCCTCCCCTGAGGGTGTCTGAACTGGTGTCTGTTCCTCCCACCAGAGCAAGGCTGGGTCGATGCTGACCAGGCCCCCCCACTGCCACCAGCAGGTGGTCGAGGGAAGGAGGGAGGATGCTGGTGGGAGTAGAGCCCAGGGCTTGGGAGCTTGGCGGTGAGAACCCAGACCCCAGCGCTCGGCACTAACAGGGCTGCACACAGCAGTATCTCCAGCCCCCAGTGGGGCCTGGCCAGGAGCGGCCTGGGACAGGAGGTTGGCCAGTGGTGGTAGGGGTGAGAAGGGACCCCACTTCTGTCAACGTGGTGGCTTTGGGCGCAGAAACCCACATCCCATGTGTGAGGGGAGCCGGATACTGTCTCTGGCCACCAAGAGGGACGAAGATGCCTGCAGGCACGTGGCCTTCCACAGCCCAGGTGTGCCGTGTGGACAGGAGGCTGGGCACAGCTGCCCCTTTCTGAGACGGGTAGGTGCTCAGGCCAGTGCTCCCCATCCCCATCCCAGGTGTGCCCCTGAAATGGTGGGAAAACCCCGAAGACTGACCCACACACCCACACGTGGTCAGATACTGTCCCCAGCTTGAGTGGCATTTGGTCCCATAGTGAGCTGCTGCTGGCTGAGTCGTGAGGGAACAGAAGGTCAAGCAAAGGCCCAGCCGTATTTCTTTCCTGTGCTTTGGTGCCTCTTCTAGGTGCTGCCTTTGTAGGGGATATACACACTCTTAGCTTCCAGGAATGAGTGGTGATCACAGAGACGGGAGGTTTAGGAGCCTGACTGGCTCCGCAGTGGAGCCAGTGTAATGAGAGGCTCCTGACAATGGATTTCGTTTCATAGGATTTACACAGCCAAGTTCGGAACTGAATAGGACTAAAACAGAAACGCCCTCTCTCCTCTAAAAACTTGGTGGAGGGTAGTGTTCGATGCTGTGAACGTGAGGTCCTGAAAAGCCCGTGCCAGAGGCGCCCTGGGATGGAAGGAAAAGATTGGCCCCTTTTGGCTATCGATGACGCAGGTCCAGTTCTTGATGGCAAAAAAAACTGGGCAGACTTTCTCTGCTGTCTAGTGGCCAGTGGTCATCAGCAGTCTGTGCACAATGGGACCGTTGCTGGCCCACCGTGCGGGCAGCTGACTCCTGGGGTCTCACTCCAGAGCAGGACCACGCGCTCCAGCCTCCCAACTCTAATCTCTAAGGAATGGACACCACAATTGACGCCTCATCCTTTGTCACTGCTGTCAGCTGCAGCCCCAGACAGCCTCCCATTCACCCTGATAGGTGGGGCCACTCCTCTCCCCCAAGACATTTGTGCTGGAGTCTTTGACTTTTTCCTTCTCAACTTGTTGGAATTGCTCCAAACACAAGTGGCACTTTACCCATGACTCTGGCCAGGGAGGGATCACTTGATGGTAGCTCCAGCAGCTCTCAGGTGTGCTAAAGGTGGTGTAGGTGGGACACGGGGTCTTCCAGGTGCAACATGAGGCCCTTCAGGTGGGATGTGATGTCTGCAGACGGGATGTTGTGCCCTCCAGGTGGGACGTGAGGTCCTAAGGTTGGAGATCTTCCCTGCTCCCGTTGGCTGTGTCCAGCAGGGGTGGGGCATTGTTTCCTGAGGAACTGACTATTGGGGTCCAACTTCAGAGACTGGGCAGGGCTGGAGGGCCTTGAGTGGGCACAAGGACAGCAGCAGGCCAGCTAAAGGGAAGGGCTTGCCATGCAGTCCAGGTGTGGGTGGAACTGGCGGCTGGGAGCTTCGCAGGTACTTATAGGATGCTATTTTGGGATTACTGAATTGTGAGTATTTTTTTTATTTTGAGGATTTTCAACTTTTCTTTGGAGATGCTTGAAACAAAGGAGGGGGTGGAGTGGGGGAAGCAACGCCATTCAAGGGAAGATAAGAAGCGTGCAGGATGGTTTTGGAAAGGGGGGGGGGTCAAGCTGCCACTCCAGGCTTGGTGCTTCTCAGCAATAAGGCCCCGCTGGGGACAAAGTCAGACCCAGGGCTTCAGGGCTCCAGGCAGGCTGAACAGGGCAGGACTGTGTGTGAAGGTGAACTGACAGCCACACCACAAGTGTCGGCTGGCGCCTGCTCTCCAAACACCCTGAGGCTTATCAATGCTATTGACCTCGAGAGACCAGCTCTCAGGTTCATTAACTGTTATTTCCTGCTTTCTATTTTACTGATTTCCATTGTGATCTTTATAGTTCCCTTCGTTTGGGTTCTGTTTGCTCTCCTTTTTCAGGTTTCTTAATGTGCAAGCTGAGTCATGGATTTTAAACCTTTCTTCTTTTCTTTTCTTTCTCTTTTTTTTTTAAAGATTTTATTGGGGAATCGGGGAAGGGGAACAAACAAGTTGCTGTCCTTTTGCTCTTCAGTCTAGTTGTGCAGGACGTCGCTTCACTGGCCCATGTTGGTATTATCATTGCGCTCTTCCTGGGTGAGGCAGATCAGTAGCCGGGCCCTGGATGGCCGCTTACGGCAGCTCTTGGCAGCTCACGCCAGCTGCTGGCTGCTCACAGTAGCTAATGGCAGCCCACTGCAGTAGGGGCTGCAGCCTACACGGTTGCCGGCAACTCACAGCAGCCCAGCTCCAAGTCGAGCTGTTGTTCACCATCTTAGCTGTAGAGGGCGCAGCGTCACTGGCCCTCATGTGGGATCTGAACTGGGGTCCTGCTGCTCAGAGTTGGCATCCCAAGCCAGCTCCTAACCAACGCGCCACCCGGCCGGCCCTCTTCTTTTCTAATATAGCATTCAGTACTATGAATTTTCCCCAAGTACTGCTTTAGTGGCATCCCACAATTTTAATACGTTTTCGTTTTCACTCAGTTCAAAATCCTAATTTCCCTTTTGATTTCTTCTTTGACCCCCAAGTCAAAGTGTGTTCAGTCTCCAAGTTCTTGAGGATTTTCCAGGGATGTTTCTGTGCTGATTTTCAGGTGACTTCTATTGTGGTCAGAGAAGACACTGGGTCGCACATGAATCCTTTTCCATTTATTGAGACTTGTGTTATGGTCCCAAATATGGTCTGTTTTAGTCAATGTTCTATTGTCCTTAAACACTGTGGATTCTTCTGTTGCTGGGTGGGGTGGTCAGTAAGTATCAAGTGGGTCCAGTTGGTTGATATGCACCCATCTACTGTAAGATTGCTGATTTTCTGCCTACTTGTTCAATCAGTTATTGAGAGAGGGGTATTGAAATCTGCAGTAGTAA